GCCGTTTTAGGTTTTGTGGGCCAGATGCTGTTAATGTCACAACTACTCTGCTATGCTCTGTGCCTGCTTTCATCCGAAGTATGTAAGTGAATGGATGTGGACGTATTCCAGTAAAACTTTACTGACACAAATAGCCTTAGTTTGTCTGGTGAGGCAGTTTCCATGTTTCAGGGCAGGAAGAAAGAAGTCAGACAGAACCCACTGGCTTCACTAAAGTGATGAAACAGCAGAAATTGGGGAGGACAAGACAGTGAGAATTTGTGGAGGAAAACACAGGAGAGGAGGGAGCAGGTTAGAGAGAGAGCTCCAGAGATCTGCAGAAGCACCGCCTTGAGGCGTTGGCTGCGTCCTGGTCTGCACATGCCTTTGAGGAAGCACCTCAAGGCTGGGAGCAGAACCGCCAAAAAGGAGAAGGCCAAGCACTTCTTGGACATCAGTTGCACAGGACTGAGAATAGTTTGTGTTCCCACCACCTAGGTGGTAGGGTATAAGATAGATCCTTTGAAGGGTTGCCTTTTCATCTTTGTTAGAGTGGATTCAGAGCAGCTTTTTCATCTGTAGAGTCAGGATGATTCCTCAGAAGGGCTGCCTTAGCAGTAGGGCTGAATTATCCATAGACCAATAGGCTGCTCCTGACTTGCCCTGACTGATTACAGATAACTTGATTACATTCTCAGAACAAAGCCCCGACTATATTTAAAAAGGATGTAATAAAAGTAGCACCCAAAAATATAAAAAGAAATTGTGTCTAGCATCTAATAAATAATTACGAGGTATACAGACAAGCAAGGAAATGTGATATTAACCAGGAAGAAAATCAAGAGAAACCCCAGAATGACAAGGGATGACAGTCATTAAAATAACTTATAAATATGTTGCACACTCAGGAATGTAGAGAAAAACATAAGCATAATGAGTGAAATGAAAGATTCAGAAAAGACTGAAATAAAACTTCCAGAGATGAAAATACAATATATAAAGTACATAAAATGCCAGGCACAGTAACTGATGCCTATAATCCTAACTCTTTGGGAGGCTGAGGTGGGCAGATCATTTGAGGTCTGGAGTTGAAGAGTAGCCTGGCCGACATAGCGAAACCTCATCTCTACTGAAAATACAAAAGTTAGCTGGGCGTGATAGGGGGCACCTGTAATCTCAGTTACTCAGGAGACTGAGGGAGGAAGATCACTTGAACCCAGGAGGTGGAGGTTGTAGTGAGCCAAGATCACACCACTGCACTCCAGCCTGGCGACAGAGCAAGACTCTGGCTCAAAATAAAGAAATAAAATAAATTTATATAGAGTAAAATGATACATATACACACATATATAATGCAGTGGAGGGATCACAACAGGTTATTACTACAGAAGAAAAGAGTTCGAGAGCCTGAAGAGGTAGCAGTAGAAGCTTTCCAAAGCACAGCACAGAGCATCGAGACTACACGAGATCACAGAGCATCAGCAGCCTGTGGGACAAAGTCAACTGATTTAAGATATGTATAACTTAGCTCCAGAAGGAGAAGAGGAGGGAATGGAAAACATATTTGGAGAAATAATGGCTGGAAATCTTCCAAATTTGATGAAAACTGCAAACTATGAAGCTCAAAAACTCCAAACAGAGCAAATATAAGGAAATCCAAGGTACCTCATAATCAGATTGCCAAAAAACCAGTGATCAGGATGAAAAGCTTTCAAAGCAGCCAGAAGAAAAGGCACATTACAGAGGAACAAAGTTACTAATAACAGTGATTCCTGGTCACATCTTGTGTGAACTAGAAGACAACAGAGCGACATTTTTTTTGTTTTTTTTTGTTTTTTTTTTTATTGAGACGGAGTCTTGCTCTGTCGCCCAGGCTGGAGTGCCGTGGCCGGATCTCAGCTCACTGCAAGCTCCGCCTCCCAGGTTCACGCCATTCTCCCGCCTCAGCCTCCCGAGTAGCTGGGACTACAGGCGCCCGCCACTTCGCCCGGCTAGTTTTTTGTATTTTTTAGTGGAGACGGGGTTTCACCGTGTTAGCCAGGATGGTCTCGATCTCCTGACCTCGTGATCCACCCGTCTCGGCCTCCCAAAGTGCTGGGATTACAGGCTTGAGCCACCGCGCCCGGCCCAGAGCGACATTTTCAAAGTACTGAAAGAAAAAAACCTGTTAGCTTAGAGTTCTGTATCCAGCAAAAATGTCTTTCAAAAATGAAGGATAAATTTTTATTTATTTCAAAAGTAAAGAAATTTCTAGGCCAGACATGGTGGCTCACCCCTATAATCCCAGCACTTTGGGAGGCCGAGGCGGGCGAATCACTTGAGGTCGAGAGTTTGAGACCAGCTTGGCCAACATGGTGAAACCTCGTCTCTACTAAAAATACAAAAATTAGCTGGGTGTGGTGGCAGGTGCCTGTAGTCCCAGCTACTTTGGAGGGCGAGGCAGGAGAATCACTTGAACCCAGGAGGCAGAGGTTGCAGTGAGCTGAGATCATGCCACTGCACTCCAGCCTGGGCGACAGAGTGAGACTCCATCTCAAAAAAAACCCCAAAAACAAAAATACATTTTTAGGCCAATAGACATGAGAATTTATCGCCAGCAAAATGGCACTAAAGGAATATTAAAGGAAATTCAGATAGAAAGAAAATAATGTTTGATGGGAAAATTTTTATTTATATATATTTTGGAGACAGGGTCTCACTCTAGTGCCCAGGCTGGAGTGCAGTGGGTGTGATCTCGGCTCACTGCAACCTCTGTCTCCCAGGCTCAAGCAGTCCTCCTGCCTCAGCCTCCCGAGTAGCTGGGACTACAAGCATGTGCCACCATGCCCGGCTAATTCTTGTATTTTTTGTAGAAACGGAGTCTCACTATGTTCCCCAGGCTGGTCTCGAACTCCTAATTTCAAGCAATCCACCCACCTCAGCCTCCCAAAGTGCTGGGATTACAGGCATGCCACTGCACTCAGGCTTAAATAGTCAGTTTCCATCATGGGCCAGGCATGGTGTCTCCCACCTGTAATCCCAGCACTTTGGGTAGGAGGAGAGGGCAGGTCGCTTGAGCTCGGGAATTTGAGACTACAGTGAGCTATGATCACACCACTGTACTCCAGCCTGGGTGACGGAGTGAGACTTTGTGTTCTAAAAGGAAAAAAAAAATGGTAAAATTGACAAAGCTCCAGTGAAACTGAGCCCGGCTAATTTTTTTGTGTTTTTAGTAGAGATGGGGTTTCACCATGTTAGCCAGGATGGTCTCGATCTCCTGACCTCGTGATCCACCCACCTTGACTTCCCAAAGTGCTGGGATTACAGGTATGAGCCACCGCGCCCAGCCACAAAATGTTTTGAATTTGCTGGGTGTGGTGGCACATGCTTGTAATCCCAGCTACTTGGGAGGCTAAGGTGGGAGGATCTCATGAGCCCAGGAGTTTGAAGGCTGTAGTGAGCCATGATCGTGCACTCTAGCCTGGGTGACAGAGGTAGACCCTGTCTCAAAAAAAAAAAAAAAAAAGATCTTAGAATACTTTTATACCACTGTTCAGTTAGCAGGAATTAAAAAGTCTGGTAATTGTTGAAAAAGTTAAGCAACAGAAACTCTCTTATACCCTTCTGATGGGAGTGCACATTACAGCTGCTTTGGGAAATAGTTTGGGTTTAGTGTATAAGCTAGCAATCATACTTCTAGATATGTACACCAGAGAAATACATGCCTAAAGTGCTTGAGATAGCTGTACCAGAAAAATCTTAGTAGTGTTTGTATTTGCCCCAAAGCAGAGACCACCCTAGGGGATGAGAATGGATAACTAAATTATGGCATATTTACTGAGTAGAATATTACACAGCAATGAAAATAAACTACAGACACAGCAACAACAAAAAAGGCAAAGAAAAAAGCAAGACAAGAATATATGTGGTATGGTTTTGTTATTTTCATCTGCTTCTGGTATTTATATAAATTATGTTTGGTAGGGCTGCACACCTAGATGATAAATCTCTAAAGAAAAGTTAGGAAATGATAAATCATAAAAGGCACACTAGCTCATGCCTGTAATTCCAGCACTTTGGGAGGCTGAGGTGGGAGGATCACTTGCGCCCAGGAATTCCAGACCAGTCTAGGCAACATAGGGAGATCCAGCCTCTAAAAAAAAAAAAAATTATCCGGGCATGATGGCATCCTCCTGTGGTTCCAGCTACTTGGGAGGCTAAGATGTGAGAATCGCTTGAGTCCGGGAGGTCAAGGCTGCTGTGAGTTGTGATTGCACAGCTGCACTCCAGCCTAGGTGACAGAGCGAGATCCTGCCTCAACAAATCAAACAGTCATTTTGTTAAGTTAGTACTTACTTATGTATGTAGTGGAAGGGGTTTGGGCTCAGATAGAGGCACCCAGCCTTTCTGGAGTTCTAGCAATGCTCCATCCCTTGGTGGTAGTTGGACTGGTATTTATATAATAGCTTCATGAAACGGTATACATGTGTTTCCTATACTTTTCTATAAGTAAGTAATACCTCATGGTAAAAGCAATTTTAAAATAATCAGATTTTATAATGCACATTCCATTCAAAAAACGTGGAAAATCCCCAAAGCACATGCACATACAGTAGTTAATCATGTTTTATCTTAAATTTCTTCATATTATAGAAATTTACCTTTTGAAATTTTATTTTTATTTATTTGAAATGGAGTCTCGCTCTGTCGCCCAGGTTGGGGTGCAGTGGCATGCATGATCTTGGCTCACTGCAGCCTCCGCCTCCCAGAATCAGACTATTCTCCTGCCTCAGCCTCCCGAGTAGCTGGGATTACAGGTGTGTGCCACCACGCCTGGCTAATTTTTGTGTTTTTGGTAGAGATGGGGTTTTACCATATTGGCCGGTCTGGTCTCAAACTCCTGACTTCAGGCGATCTACCCTCCTCCACCTCCCAAAGTGCTGGGATTACAACATGAGCCACTGCGCCTCGCCTTGAAATTAAATTTTTAAAAGTTGTAAATTTTTCCAGATGAGAATTGACCAACTATTATTATTTTCTAGGTAAGGGACTCCGCTACAGTAATTAAAGAAGGATAAGGTTGGCGTTGCTTTGCTCCTTTTTTAATTGAAGTCCTTCCTTCCTGATCAAGCTTCCATATATCTCCTTAAAGCATATGACACACAGGTATGCCACTAAAAAGTTTTAGTTTGTGTAGATTTCTTTCTTCAGCTGTTACTTTTTCATCTTGCATAAAAATCAAGTAATTAAATTGTAAAACATCCTGAACATATTCATTTTTGGCTTTAGCAGTTTCATTCTTCAGCAGATGTATTTGACTTTCTACATACATGGCACTTTGTTTTGGTTTGTGTCTGACCTTATTTTTCTTTTTTTTTCAAACCAGTATTAAACTGAAAATAATAGACATCATACCTCATGGTCCAGGAATGAGTGAATAAGTTAGAAAACCAAGAATAGTGGCCTGCACTTCTTTATCCAAGGCCTACTTTCTGAAATCTTTCAGCCCTACCCTTCCCTAGAAGGTGCCCCACTGCAAGGAAGGCACAGGCAGCCTCAGGATGTGACCTGCCTCATGGAGTATTGCATTTTTTGATACAAGAACTATTTGCTCCTTAACCATCTTTCTCTAGGAGTTTGAAAGAAAATAAAATACTCTGTGTTTCAGTCTCTAACTTGTGATTGAGTGGCTGAGGTGGGAGAATCTCTTGAGCCCAAGAGTTTGATACCAGTCTGGGCAACACAGTGAGACCCTGTCTAAAAAAATAAAATAACTAACTGGGTGTGGTGGTGAGTGCCTGTAGTCCCAGCTACATGGGAGGCTGAGGCAGGCGGATCACTTGAGCCTAGGAGTTCCAGGCTGCAATGAGCTGGGATCATGCCACTGCCATCCAGGCTGGCCATAGACCAAGACTCTGTCCTTTTAAATAATAATAATAATAATAAATCTTTCATATGTTAGAATGTTAAAAATAAGTATAAGAAGTTGGAAAGTTTGCATCCAAAGTGAGATTTAATACATAACTATTTTTGATGAGTTGAAAAGTGTCAAGAAAATTGCTGTTTAAATTTCATTTATAATCATGATGTCATCATAGTACCATTCAATTTTCTCCAGTAGTCTGTGGTATTTTTAGTTTGTTTGAAGCAGGGTCCAAATAATTGCAGTTAGCTGATATGTCTGTTAAGTCTCTTAATCAATAGAGTACTTTTCCCCATCCCTTTTTTCCTTGCATTTTATTTGTTGGAAAATCCAGGCTGATTGTTCAGTCGTCAGAAGTTCCCCCATTCTAGCCTTTGCTGTTTCCGCTGGACATGTTCTTCTGCTTCTGGGTGGATATAGAGGCTTGATCACTTTCTGGCTCAGCCTTTCAGCACAGGTACTTCAGAGTTGCGTGGTGCCCTCACCAGGAGGCACACATCTGCACAGATGTGAGATCCAGTGTTGTTGATTCTTTTTTTCTTTTTGTCTTTTTTATTTAAAAGACATGTTGCCCAGGCTGGTTTTGAACTCCTGGCCTCAAGCAATCCTCCCACCTCCATCTCCCAGAGTATGCTGCAAGCTTGAGCCACAGCGCCTGGCAGATCCAGTGTTTTTTGAAATCTCATGTTTTATTCTAACGATTGAAACATAATCTGCTTCTCAGTATGGCCATGTTTTATGCTTTTCACTTCTTCAAATACAGTTGACACTCCAGGAAGATGAACCTTATCACACTTGCAACTTCTACCCCTTATACAGCCCCAGGGCTCCAGCCCCGTGTGGCAAGTGTGGCCTAGGGGAAGCCTCCATCTGGAGAAGTGCTGCCTGCACTGGGTCGCATGTCGAGTGGACTGAGCCCTTGGCTCCTTTCCCTGCTTCCTGTCCAGATGGCAGGACTCTGGTCCTGGGCCAAAAGAGGCACAGTGTCTTTGCATATAGTAAGGGTTGAATGAATACCTTTTAAAACTCCTGACTCTTCTGAACCAAGGGATACTGACAGTGCTGGGCCCCAAATGACTATTGTTTTCTCGAAGGGTTTAAGACCATGTCTTATACTGTGGTTTAATCAGGTTCTTTCCTAGGAGTCTGCCTGAGTCACTTGGTCTGTGTGTCTTTCCCTCCCTGTCCTAAGGGGGCTTTTCATGTGTGACTGTGATCTGCCTGTCTGTCTGGTAAGGATCCAGCCTCTGGTTACTTGCCCAGGGTGCTGACTGTGGGCCCTCTCCCGCGGTGGAACATTTGGCATCAGGTATCAGGAACAGAGTCAGTATGCTGAAATGTTTGCATGAATGTGGATTTTCAGAAAGCTTTCTTATCAGCAGGGCACACCTGTCTGTTCATGATCTTTGCCCTTCTCCCTTTATTGGCATCACTTGGATGATATCTTTAATTGCCCTGCTGGGCTTGATGTTGAACTGCTTTTCTCCATGTGTGTCATGTTTAGTGCTTTCTTGTGGCAAGAGCCTTTTGCTTTGTGTATCTGATGCTTCCCTTTTGTGGTTTTCCCCGGGCTTTCCAGCTCTTGGAGCACCCTTTTGTCAGCAGATGTACTTTTGTTTCCAGTTTTTAAATTCTAATTACAGTGTAGCTCAACTAAAATCATGGAACTAGGGAACATAAAACAAATCATTAGAGTAATGGAGGCCTAGAAGAAAGTGAAAGGAATCCAGTCCACCTCTTTGCTGTACTAGGTATCGATATGCCTCAGCTGTGAGTGAGGGCCTTCCTGAGTAGCTGACTAGAAACTAAACTTTTATGAAAGAATTTTCTTAAATAATTAGAGGTGCCTTTCATTTAGTTAATAACAAGACCTCAAAACACAGTATATTTTCGTCTAAAACTGTAGCAAACAGTAAGTAAAGTAATAGAGTAAAAATTCTGCTTAAAGAAGACTGCGGAATAAAAGTTTCAGGCCAAGTGCAGTGGCTCACACCTGTAATCCCAGCACTTTGGGAGGCCGAGATGGGCGAATCAGTTGAGGTCAGAAGTTCGATACCAGCCTGGCCAACATGGTGAAACCCCCGTCTTTACTAAAAACACAAATAGCTGGGTGTGGTGGCACGCGCCTGTAATCCCAGCTACTCAGGAGACTGAGGCAGGAGAATCGCTTTAACCTGGGAAGCGTAGATTGCATTGAACCAAGATGGCGCCACTGCACTCCAGCCTGGGCGATAAGAGTGAGACTCTGTCTAAAAAAAAAGAAAGTTACGGAGCTCAGAGTGCCAGATTCTGCACTCCTGGTAGTTTCTGGTGTTGCCCTTCCTTAGCTCCTCAGAGTGCACTGGCATAGGTGCCATTTTTTAATCACACAATTCCCTTCATTGTAATTTTCTTAGCGCTGTCTTTGCTTAGTGGGTCTGTGGTTGCCATTCAGCAGTACATTTCTCTCTGTGTGGAAGCAAACATCTTCTCAAACCTGATGCTCGGTGAGGATAGGCAGTGTGCTGTTAAATAGGCGGTGGCCTCGGATTCCCAGCATGTGTATGACCGCTGTGCTAACCAGAGGTGCGTGTGTCCAGCATCTGAGCATTGGAACCTGCAAGCTGCTCCCCCAAATCAGGATGCTAAATGTTCATTGGCAAGTTACTCAAAGTTGCCTCAAATATCTTTAATGCATTTAACTGAATTTACATAATTTTTCTTTATCAGCACATAATTATTATAAATATTGTAGAATTGCCATTAACTTATGATTGTCATATCTAAATTTTAGGATAAAAATAGAATTTAACTATTTTTATGCCCATATATAAGCAAGTGAAGTAAAGGTATTTATGTTTAAATCAAGAACTCTAATCAGAGGTTTTCGCAATCCTTCCAAATATGCAATCTCACTTATTTCTTGCCACTTCTGGTGATAGGCCTGTGTGTGGAACACACGGGGGATTCCTGCCTGTCCACAGCTCAGTGTGAACAGACCAGATATGGTCATAGATTAGAAATTACCATCACAGGCCTCGCGGGTAGTTCATGTCCATAATCCTAGAACTTTAACAGGCTGAGGCAGGAGGATTGCTTGAGCCCAGGAATTCGAGACCAGCCTGGGCCACATTGGTGAGACCTACCTGGGTAACATGGCGAGACCCTGTCTCTACAAAAAATGGAAAAGTTAGCTGGGTGTGGTGGTGCATGCCTGTAGTCCCAGCTAGTTGGGAGGCTGAGGCAGGAGGATCACTTCAGCCTGGAAGTTCAAGGCTGCAGTGAGCCGTGTTCACACCACCGCACTCCAGCCTGGGTGACAGCAAGAAAAGGAAGAAAATAAAAGAAATTACCTCAAAAGAAAAAAAAAGAAAATAAATTACCCTTACAGACATTTTATTTTTATTTTTATTTTTTTAGAGACAGGGGCTCTCGGTTGGTCGGGCTACTCAACCTCCAGGGCTCAAGTGATCCTCCCGCCTCAGCCTTCTGAGCAGGCACTACAGGCACATGCCGCCATGCCCGGCAACCACCACAGATAATTTAGAAAAAATTAGCCTTTTAGTTTTAGGAGCTTTCTTTTACAGTGATATTTAGTTTGCGGCCTTTGAACTTGGATTTTGCTTTCGGAGCTGTACCTGTAGGTATTGTTGTTCTGGCCTGCGAACGAGACGTGACCAACTCCAGTGCTGGCTGCTTTCTGTCCTCACCATCAGTCAGTGTGGTCTATGTGTGAGGTTGCAGTTGTCCTCTTGGCCGCTTATTTCTCTTTGATTCTCTGCATGTAATTTAAAACATTATCCCCTGAAACTTTGTTTTACATTGACTTCTAATATCTTTACTCCTCCTTACTTTTAATTTTCCTATTAAGATACTTATTTAATTTTCCTATTAAGATACTTAGGATTTTATGAAATTCTTTGAATCTACATGTGGATAAACAGAATTGTGTCATATAAGGTTCAATATGCTAGCTGTTTAAAAAAATTTGAAAGCAATTTTTTTTTTTTTTTTTTTTTTAGAGACAGAATCTTGCCCTGTCACCCAGGCTGGAGTGCAGTGGCATGATCGTAGCTCACTGTAACCTTGAACTCCTGGGCTGAAGCAGTTCTCCCGCCTCAGCCTCTTGAGTAGCTAGGACTCACAGGCATGTGTCACCATGCCTGGCTAATTTTTATTTTATTTTATTTTTTATTTTTATTATTATTTTTTTGAGATAGAGTCTCACGCTGTCGCCCAGGCTGGAGTGCAGCGGCGCAATCTC